TCTTCATTTGCTTTTTGCCCTTAGGACCATTTCCAGGGGCTTGAAATATTTTTTCTTTTTCTTTTTATATATTTTTTTACTTTCCCTGGGGAGCTCTTCATGCTGTCATCCCAGAAGAATCTCACTCCTTTACTTTTAAATCAAATCTAAATCCCAATATCAGCTGGTACCTCCACTGAATGCAAAGAAAGAAACCAAGGTCATGAGTGAGAAGGGAAGAAAAGAGGGACCCTGTATACAGACCCTGGCTTATGCCGTTACTCTCATTACAGGGAGGATGAGGAAGAAGACAAGGTATACCCACATTCCCAACCTTTGACACAGTGACTTGGCCTCTAGTAAACTGGTTGCATGAGATTAGTGTTCTCACTTCTGGTGATTAAGTAAGGGATAGCGTGGGCAGGGGGACATGTGGTATTAAGAGGAATGGAGCCATCCCCTCTTTCATGCAGGCAGGATTCATGGCCTGTAAAAGAATTCTCTGGAATGACATGGCTAGAGAGAGGAATTTGAGCTTCCTATTGAGTGATGGGTAGAGAAGGATAAATGTCCAACCTTCAGATTCTGAAATAAAAGCAAAGCTTCAACATGTCTTTTCACATCCAGAAAAGCCCATGTCTAGCCCATGCTAGTTCAGAGGCTAGACCAGTGTAGCAGCCTTTGAACCACTGCTGCCTCCAGCCTCTCCCCTCCAATCCTTCCATTGCTCTGCTTTGCCACTGGAGTGATTTTCCTAAAGTGTGACTCTAGCCAGGCCCCTACTGAGACAGTCTCAACTTCTCCTTTAAGCTCAGGGGGCTGGCCTGTTCATCTCTTCCCACACTATAGAGCGCATGGGGTCTTTACCTGGTACAGTTAGCCTGTCAACACACAGGAGTTGAATTGCATCAAACACAGTGCATTATATATCTATATAGTCACATTTACACTATACAGATGCAAAGACCTTGTGGCAGAAATAAGCTTAGCACAATTCAGAAACACCTAGAAGCCTCTATTAATGATGTCTGGGACCTGGGCTCGGATGTTAGCTCATCGCTGTATCTACTGGTCTGACCCAGCCTAGGCCCATCATTCAACCCAGTTGCAGTTTCCTCATCTATGAAATGAGGGTAGTGCCTCAAATGGGATGAATTGTTATGGGATGAATGTGATAATGAGAGTAGAACACTTGGCACCAGTAAAAGCTTAATTTGTTTATGCAAGCAATAAATATGTATTGAGTGCCTGTTTGTCCCAGGGTTTGTTTTAGGAGTCAGAATACAGTAGGAAAGAAAAGAAATACACACACACACCCCACAAACAAATATACACATCAAAGGAAGTACAAAGGCCCTGTAACAGGAAGATACTTGTCATGTTTTAAAAGCATCACGAAGGCTCTGTGGCTGGGGGTGGTGGCTCACACCTGTAATCCAGCACTTTGGGAGGCCAAGGCAGGAGGATCACTCAAGTCCAGAATTTCGAGACCAGCCTGGGCAACATAGTGAGACCCCCACTGCTACAAAAAAATTTAAAAAATTATCTGGGCATGGTGGCATGTGCCTGTGGTCCCAGCTACTTAGGAGGCTGAGGTGGGAGAATTGGTTGATCTCAGGAGGTTCAGGCTGCAGTGAGTCATGATTGCACCACTTCACTCTAGCCTGGGTGACAGAAAAAAGAAAAAAAAGCTCTATGAATATTTATGCGGAAGTGTTTAGAGATAAAGTATACTCATGTTTGTAACTTAATTCAAAATTCATTTAAAAATAAGATGATTAGTTGGAGGGGTGGGTAGATATCTGATAATAAAATGTGCGTAGTAGAATTTAGTGGTGTTCTATGCATGTTCACTGTGAAATTCTTCTAATTTTACTTTGTGTTTGAAAAACGCCATACTAGGATGCTGGAGGAAAAACATCAGGAAGGTTAGTGAGGCAAGAGCAGATTGAGCTAGTGAGGGAGAAAGAGAGGCAGAGAAGATGAGGTCTCAGAGGTCTCTGCGACCGAGATCCTGGAGGGCCTTATGAGCAGTGGGAAGACTCTGGGGTTTTGTTCTAAGCTCCGTGGGAAGCCTGGGGAGGATTTTGAACAGAGGAGTTTCATGATCTGATTTGTTATTATAAAGGACCCTCTAGGCTTCTGTGGGGAGAAGCGGCTCTACCTAACAAGTCTGAAAGTGAAGAGGGTGGCATGGGAGGTGGCAAACCATGGTCAGATCCAGGGGACAGTCTGAAGGAGTCGCTAATGGATGAGATGTGCAGAGCATGCCAGGGCATTGGCCTGAGTGAGCAGGTAGATGGCAGTTCTGTTTCCTGAGATGGGGAAGATGAGGGAATGAAGTAAGTTTGGGTAACAGAGTGGGGAGAGTGATGAGGGGGAGAAACACGTATTCTGTTTCAGGCATGAGAAGCCCAAATAACAGACTTAGTAATCAATGGGAGCTGTTATTACTGTTTCTACCACACATACTTATGTAACGACATTTGCAAACATACGTGCTTTCTCTGAGCTGGAGATTCCGCCCTGTCCTTCCTATTTTCTTTCCCTCTCATTTTCTTCTCCCCCTGCTGCCCCACTCTTTCAACTTCAGACAACTATCCAGTGACTGCCGGAGGCTCTGGTGATGGTAAAGGCAGAAATGAGGAACCAGAGGCAGCCCCTCTAACCCCCTCTGAGCATCAGAAAACCTCTGCTTAGGTCAGCACCTTTCTTCAGTGTGAGAAATCTGGATCAGAGGAAGTCCCTGGGTGAAACCAGGAGCACGCAGCTCTCTGGGCTCAGCTCCTGCCCTTGCAGACCCTCTGGCCTTCCTGACTCTTGAAGCGAGGCAGGCAGATGGGCTACCAGGCAGTTCTAGCACATGGCTGAATGTGAGATTCAAAGATGCTGCAGAGGGAAGGACCAAGATCTCTTTGTTTTACTGAGAATGTGACTCTGAGTCAAGATCTGAACTAATTTGACCCATCTAGTGGTGCTTTCATTTCCCCACTTCCTTCCCTCCTTCCTTCTCTCCCATCACCTAGGTTAGAAGAGCGTTTAAAGACATTTGTCAAGTAGCCAGCTGGGGAAACTGACTCGACTGTTAGAGACCTACTCCCTGTAGAAGGCTGCCTCAGTCACTAAAAACTAAATACATTCCAAAGCCACTGCATCTCATGGGGCCACAAGCACAGTCTTCTCAAGCTAATTGCTTCCAGAGGAGAGCCCTGGTGCATGTGTGTGGTGAAGAGTGATGGGGAATGAACCATGGAGTTTCCTCCTCCTGCTCTTTGACTTTCTGTGCCACCTGTGGCCCTTAGAAGTGCACCAGCCTCTGGTAATAACGTGTGCATAACTCTTATAGAGTGCAATGTGCCAGACACTGTTACAAGCACTTCATGTATATTAACTCATTTAATCCTTCTAATAACTCTGTAAGATAAGTTCTGTTATTACCATTTCCATTTAACAGATGAGGAAACTGAAGCATAGAAAGAAAAACTAAGTATCCCAAGGTCACACAACTAGAAAGTGATAAAGCCAAATGTTCTGAGCTTAACTATGTGTTGGACAGGTGGATGAAAAGATCGATGAAGACAAGATTGTCCACAATGAATGGAGCAGATAGGGAGCCCCAAAAAAGCTCAACCTGGGGAAGCTATCTGCAGGCTAGAGAGAGCAGGGGTTGCTTTTGTTACTCTTTCGTTCTATTAAAATAAAAAAAGATTTATAATGTTAAACATCTTTGTTTTTACTTTAAAATATTAAAATATTCATACCTATACAAAATCAGTTTTCTACCACATACGGACACTTCTTAGAGTAGAAGCTATAACACAGGTGGAATAAATTATAGGCACAATCCCCTACTATCCACAAAGTCTTCCACAAATATCATTAGCTGTATGGTTTTAGGCAAACCACTTAAATTCTGTGCAGTTTACATCTCTTCTCTGGAGCCATCCCATAGGCCAAATCCATTAATAATTATAATCACAGTCATGATAGCTGCTGTCAACTGAATACCTGATGAATAGCTGTACTAAACTAGGCGCTTTTGTACAAGAACTTTGTTTGTTTGTTTGTTTTGAGGCAGGGTCTTGCTGTGTCACCAAGGCTGGAGTACAGTGGCGTGATCATGGTTCACTGCAGCCTCAACCTTCCGGCTCAAGTAATCCTCCTGCCTCACCCCCTAGAGTAGCTTGCACCACAGGCACATGCCACCATGCCCAGCTAATCAAAACAAAAATGTTTGGAGATGAGGTCTCACTATGTTGCCCAGGCTGGTCTCAAAATCCTGGACTCAAGTGTCCTCCAGCCTCAGCCTCCCAAAGTGTTGGCCTTATAGGCATGAACCACCGTGCCCAGCCTCTCTTCCTCTTCTTATAAAGACACCAGCACTAGGATTATGCCCCCACCATTAGGACCTCATTTAACTTTAATCACCTCATTTACATTAGTTAAAGACTCTATCTTAAATACAGTCACATTGGGGTGAGGGCTTCAACATATAGATTTGGGGGAGACACAATTCAGTCCTTAACAATGAGCTTTGAAGAGTCTGGGTATCCTTAAAAATCCTGTATCCAATTTTGCACAGATGAGAGTCCGCATGCACAATGTGGCCTCTCAAAAGATTAAAAATGACTAAAAGTATTATAAAGGACAAGAAAAGGGCTCATGGAAACATAGGAATATTAATAGAACTTGTGTTAAGCGGTAGAAGAAAAAGAAAATTCTCCAATATTGTCTTAATGAGCATTAAAAAGTGGATAACAAGAAGGGCAGTGAAAAACGTGGGTGTCAGCTCTCTCTTTACATTTTGAAAGGTTTGATGGTTTGCCTGAGGTCACAGAGTAGATAATGGATCTGATTCTAGGACCGCAGGGTCCCAAGCCCCAGCCCACCAGGCGTTCTGACCATGTTCTCATCAGCTGTGCTGTCTGTCCTTTCCCAAAGAAGCCAAGGCCATCTGAATGAGGTTCCTGAGCTGCCCCTCGCCTGACTCAGAGATGTTCTTTCCCTTGCTTTCCTTCCAGAAGTGGAGCAGATTGAGGCAATTGCCAAGTTTGACTACATGGGACGGTCCCCGCGTGAGCTGTCTTTCAAGAAAGGGGCCTCGCTGCTCCTGTACCACCGCGCCTCGGAGGACTGGTGGGAGGGCCGGCACAATGGCGTGGATGGACTCATCCCCCATCAGTACATAGTTGTACAGGACATGTGAGTGGAGTCGGGACTTCTGTGAAAAATGCTGAAATAGATTAGTGATATCTGGAATGGGCACCATAGGGGAGTGCTAACTTGTATGCCAGCAATTTGCTTTCCTTAATACCATATGCTTGGTCTTCTGTAAGAACGGGTAATATCTAACTTCCCTTTAAATGGTGATCTACTTAACAGATACGCAAATTACTCCTCCTTCTGAGTACAGAGACAGTGTTGGGTGACCCTGGCCTGCATCCTGATGCAGCTGACAGCCTCCAGGGTATCCATCACCCACCATGGCTTTCGGTATCCAGGGGTTCCTGCCATGTACCTCCACCTAGGCCTCTGCTGCCTACTGTTCTGTACTCCAGAGGTAGCTGTCTTAGGGAATGGGCAGAAACAACCATGCCCTTGTTTCTGATTAATAGGTTACTATTTAAAAAATAATAATTTCAGAGGTTAACAAAAAAGGCCCCTGTGTCCCAAATGCCTAGTCCTACCACAGAAAGTCTGCACTTTCCATTCATTTGAAAGCCATGGAAGATTCCAGTGCACACAGTCCCTGGGAGCTCTGGTCAGGCTCGGCAGAACAGATGTACTGTATTTGCAGCCACCAAACTAAGCCTCAAGGTAGGGCATCAAAAACCCACATTTTGATGGGAGAGAGGAGATCTCAGCCAGAGAAAAGGCCAGGGCCAAGCAGACTGCCAGAGGAACACCATAGTAGAGGGCCCTTGGCAGTCTCCTGATGTTCCCAGACCTCTGAGGCCAGGGACAAGTCACAACGGCAGAGAAACGTGGAAGGAGCCTGGCAGGGCACCCCAGCAAGCTTGTGAGCCACCTCACAATGGCCCACGCCTTGAGTGGGGAGGTAAGGGGCAGAGGCAGGTTCTTCCACCCTTGCTTAGCCCCAAGCCATTTCCCACAGAGTCACACAGAGACTCAGCACTCAGCCCTCGGTGCTAGGCCTGCGGACTCCATCCCTGCATTTCTCCAACACACCCTGCAGTATTTAGCTTGTCCTAGCCTGGAGCTGCCTGGGAATGAACCTAGAAGAGAAAAAAGGAGGAGGTAGGTGTGGGACAGAAGAGGGTCCCTGCTGCAGAAACTGAACAGGAGTGTTGCAATGGGCATGTGTGGTGGGAAGGCACCCAGTGGGCAGTGGCTCAGCAAGCGCTGTGGGCACAATGTAACCATAAGGTGTGTTCATTCAGCCCCTCAGACACGTATCAGGGAGCCTTGTACATGCTGGGTTCTCCAGGGGAAGGCACCTCCAATTCACGTCTGTCTTCTCCCCAGGGATGATGCCTTCTCCGACAGCCTGAGCCAGAAGGCTGACAGCGAGGCTAGCAGTGGGCCACTGCTGGATGACAAGGCCTCTTCCAAAAACGACCTCCAGTCCCCAACGGAGCACATCTCGGATTACGGCTTTGGGGGGGTGATGGGCCGGTAGGAAACAGGGATTCATTTTTTTCCCTCCTAGTGCCAAGCCTGCTCATGTCTGATTTGGGAGAAGCACAAGGGCAGGGAGGAGAGAAGGAGGCTACTGCAGCACCCTGTTCCCCACAAGATGTGATGGGCACACTGGGCGGGCCGGCTGGCATTGGCCCAAGAAGGCCAGGTATAAAACGATCCAGCCTGCCTTGCAGGGAGGAAGAGGAGGAGGAAAGACGTGTGTTGGGAACTCAGTGCTTTTCTATTGAAAATAATGACGTGTGAGAGAGAGATACAAATTGGCAAGTATTTTTCCCGCCTCTCTCCAGTTCCTGCACCTCCTTCCAGGTTTCTGTTGTAGACTTGAGTTGTTATATTTAAAAATGTAAAGCTCACATATTCCCTGCAATGCACTACATAAACAGAAAACTCACACCTACTCATGTGTTGAAGGAAATTGACACTCGACTCCACCTACTTATTCAGTGGGAGCAGTATTGCCAATTTCTTCACTCCCTATGTGTGGGTCAGGCTGTGTCACATGACCTTTCTACCAGACTAGGAGGTGTGCACATCATTCTGAGAACAGGTATAATCCAAAATATTTGGTTATTTAAAAAATTAGTGAGGAAATAAGAAATGCAAAGCAAAACTGACGATTTCTCACTGCCTTTTTAGTCACACTCTCAAAATGTCATATTCCATGTTTTTTTCAGTGGAGGGGTCATGTGATCAACCCACACATGTGGGGCTTTGCAGGTAGACCCAAAAAAAAAAAATCATTCACAATGGGAACACACAATTTATGAATTTATTTCAGCAAAAGTCCTGATTCCTCTTCTCTGCAAATTCTATTCAGTGCAGCAGATAGCTCAAGGCACTATGGTAGAATTGGGAAGGGCAGGGAAGTGGAAGGCTGGGGTAGGTAGACAAAAAAAGTTATGGTCCCCTGACTTCTTGGAGGACCATATCTTCTGCCTCTCTTTTCCTCTCCCTCGTCCTTCCCTTGCCTACTTCATTCTTGTTCTTTCTTTCTACATACTGCTTCCTCTCCAGTACCTATGCTTTGGTCCTGTTGGGGCACCCACAAACACTGCTTAGCTTGGCTGGTGGCACTAGGATAATCACTGCTGGTCCCTAGTCATAATCCATTCCCAACACGTGGTCCCTCTCCATTCCTGCTCACCACTTCTAGCCTCCCCTCCCTTCAGACTCTTTGGTGACCTCTGTAGGATGCAGCAAAATCTCCTATGTATAGAACCTCTTATCTTCAAGGTGCTTTTAAACCCACCTGAAGCAAAGGTAAAGGGTGGGCAAAGGATCCTACTTATACCCACTTAACAGATTAATAAAGTGGGATTGAGAGAGGACACAGGAAAGCTTGTGGCAGACACAGAGCAAAAACTCACCCTCCTGAAACACACCCTATTCCCCTTTTCCCTGCTCCAGAGCCTCCCTGAGTTGGTAAAGGAATTTAAATGCACAAAAGGGCTGTCCAGCCATGCAGTGTTTACTCTTGAATGACTAGTTTTCCAGGATCCAAAAAAGTCTCATAAAACGAGCCCTCTTCTGGGGAGATTGGGGGTTGGGTGGCAATGTCAGAGTGTCTGTAGTTCCCAGGGGACCCCTCCTGTGCTTGAAGGGTGCTGGTTACTTTGGTACAGTCAAGCCTCAAAGCTTCAGACCAGTTAGGAGCCCCTCAGAATCATGGAAATGTCTGAACTGTTTCAGAGGGTATCATGAGCCCAATTAACCATCACCAAAGCAGGTTGGAATCCTGTAGGCCTTGACTTAGCGTGTAGACCAGATGCATCTTGCCGTGGGCAGCACTGCTGCCTGTGGCCTGGAAGCACTGTGCTCCAAATGCCTTTGTGTTTGCACATTAGACCTCCCACTGCTGGTGAGCTGTGTGCTGGGCCAGGCCTCTCATTGTGGAATTGTGGGGTCTGGCTGAATGAGGCTTTACTGTACCCGCTCCTTAGAATAGCATGTAGTGTGTGGCATGGGGTTGGCTCACCCATTCTGAGACTTGCCAGGCTTGACCTCTTCCCCATGCCCTTCGCCCCTGGCTCCTTTGCAGAGTGCGGTTACGATCTGATGGAGCGGCCATCCCCAGACGCCGAAGTGGGGGCGACACACACAGCCCACCCCGGGGCCTGGGCCCCAGCATAGACACACCACCCCGGGCTGCTGCCTGCCCCAGCAGCCCCCACAAAATACCCCTCAACCGGGGGAGGATTGAGAGCCCTGAGAAGCGGAGGATGGCGACGTTCGGGAGCGCTGGCAGCATCAACTACCCTGACAAGAAGGCGCTCTCCGAAGGGCACTCAATGAGGTCGACCTGCGGTTCCACCAGGCACAGCAGCCTAGGGGACCACAAGTCCCTGGAGGCCGAGGCCCTGGCAGAAGTAAGGGCCAGCGGGAAGGCAGGCTGGGCAGCCAAGAGCCCCATAGGGCCACGGGGTGGGAATCTGTGGAGCGGGGAGTCACCTTGGCCTTTATGCCAAGCTCATAGCTAAACCAGAGAATGGGAGAATGAATGGCTTCCCTGTCCCATACTGGGCTTCCCTTGAGAGTGGAGACTGGTTGGGAGCAGTCACTGCTAGGGTTCCTATAGAGGCTGAATAGCCCCAATGTCCAGGGCTAGAGAGGGCATTGGCCACATTATGGGGTTGGGGTAATGGCAGGTCACTACACAGAATGATATGGTTCAGTTATTCATTCATTCACTCATTCATTCATTTCTCTGTTCATCTATTCATTCATTGGCAAATATTGATTGAACATCTATTGTGTGGCCGTCACCATGGTAGCCACCAACTGTACAGTGAAGACCTAAAATGGACTCAGGCCCTGCCCACATGGAGCTTACAGTTTAGAGAAGAAAGAGGTATCAACCAATACACACACACAGCTGTGAAATAGTGGCTGCGTTGGATGCCTTTAAGGAGTAGTCCACAGTATTTTGAGAGCCTAAAATATGAGGATTGCACCTAGGCAGGGAGAGACTTCTCTGGGAAGGACTTGACCTGAGACCCAAAGGGTAAGCAGAGCTAAACAGCTGAAGCTGCAAGAGAAGAATGCTCCAGGTTCTTCTCAAGTGCTTAGAGGGTTAGTTTTTTGTTTGTTTGTTTTGGTTTTGGTTTGTTTTGTTGTATTTGGATGAAAAATCTATATGATTTTTACATTTGCCAAATGAATAGAACTGTGATTGAGTTAACAATTTGCATGGCTGGTTTCATGTGTTTTTGACAGTTCTATCACATTTTGAAAAGTTTCCCCTTTTTTTTTGTCTCTGAAATTTGGTGTGGGGGCCCATTATGTACCCTCTGCCTAGTGTTCTCTCCCATGTAAGGTAACAGAGACAATCAGAACCTTCTGGTTTGTGAGAATTCTACTGTGGAGAGTGACCTTTGCATTCTTGTTCAAAAGGAGAAGGAGGAAAGGTGGGGAGCTGTGAGCTGTGTTCTTGGGGAGACCAGGCAGAGTTTCCAGGGAATACCCAACACAGAAGTAGCTCACTTAGCAATGAGTACTCCTGTTCACATCAGCAGGCTCTAGCTTGGCCCCATGCTCACTCCCATGGGGTCCCTGAAGATCAATGCCTTTCAAGGAAGCATGCCAGCTGCTAGTTCACCCATACTTGTGGGAACATCACCCTAGCACCCACCATCATCTGGAAACTCTACCAGTCTAGAAAGTTCTACCAGTTATGATAGGGGATGGGCCGCCTGAGGCCTGCCCCAGCGCTCTTTACATAATGAATGAAATGCAGTCTAGAGTACTGTTTCTGAAAATAGGTCTCACAGCAGAGTAGTTCCACAGGATGCTAGGGGGTGCATAGGGAATACATGTTCTGTGGTCAGCAAGGTTTGTGGAATGCTGCTCTGACAGTTGAGTGGCTTATCTGTAAGACCCTTATAAAACCTTTAAAGGAGGCGTCCCCAACCCCCAGGCCATGGATGGGTCTGTAGCCTGTTAGGAACCAGGCTGCACAGCAGGAGGTGAGCAGGGGTCGCCAGCATTATTGTCTGAGCTCCGAGTCCTGTCAGATCAGCGGTGGCATTAGATTCTCATAGGCCGGGAACCCTATCGTGTACTGTGCATGCGAGGAATTTAGGTTGTGCACTCCTTAAGAGAATCTAATGCCTGATCTGAAGTGGAACAGTTTCATCCCGAAACCATCCTCCTAACCCCTGTCCGTGGAAAAATTGTCTTCCATGAAAATGATCCCTAGTGCCAAAAAGTTTGGGGACCACTGCTTTAAAAGATGTGCATTGTGAATCTCCACAAAAGAAAACAGGGCATGCCCCACATCCCAGACTTCTTTGACCTTTATTCATGGAGCATTTTGCAAGTCCAGCCCCCAGAATGCACGTGGGGACTGCTGCATGTGTTCTCAGTTTGCCGAGGAATCTGCACCCTCTCTACTTTGACAGCTGCCATCCGAGAGCCCCTTTCACCAACAGAGGTCAAATGAGGAATTGTGGTAAATGATATGTAAATAGCCCACTGCCACTGGAGAGCTTCCAGCCTCAGCACTGGCTCTAATGAGCCCTTGACTTTGCACGTTGCAAAGGGGCGTGGCAGCTGAAGCATCCCAAGTAGCAGGCGGACTGACCTAAAATTCTCTGGTCTCAAAATGTCCCATAGAATTTAGATTTGAACCCACTTAAAGAGGCTGCTTGAGGAACTTGCAACATGGCCATCAAAAGTGGGAAGATCAAATTGGGGAGGAGATGAAAAGCAGTCGCAGTCCCTACTCCGTCCTGCAGGGCCTCTCTACAGCTCCGCTCTGGAGACTCACAGCATCACCTCTTGGACTAATGCAAGGCTGTAGCCTAAACAACTCAGCTGATCTTTCTCTGAGCTTTCTGTCTTTCTGTTCACTCTGCTGGGGTAGAGTAGTGATGGTGGAGGGTGGGGGGAGGGGGATGGTGGTGGAAAGGCAGTAATTACATTTTATTTATTAAAGTTTTACCTTGCAGCTCATGCTGGACTAGAGCAAATAGAGAGTAGTGGGGTCAGTAAGGGGCTTCCTTCAAGCAGAGTGGATGATGACAGGGCAGCTTGGCTCCAGGAAAGCAGGCTGTGTCACTGCAGGGCTGGCACAAAGCAGAGATGGGGAGAGGTCTGCCTTCCCTCCCTTCCTGCAGAAAATTGCTGCAACAGTGCCTCCTTTTGGGTAAGACACAAAAGACCCTTTCTTAGAGTTGCTGGTGTTCTGGGGCAAGGGATGAAACATTCTGGAGAAGCATACAAGCTAATATTAGCCATTAGCCAGACGTCCATAGTCCCCTAACAAAAAGGATAGGCTGTGACAATGAGGGAAGCAAGTGCTTGGGGCCCTGACGCATGCCAGACTGAAGCCTACCATGGGGCCTGGGGCGGGCAGGAAGCCACCTGCAGACAGGAGAAGGAGAGAATGTAAAAGACCAGGGTGGAGAAAGGGGCTGGCCCCAGCATTTCCAGGCTCCCACTCTATCCGTTTCAACAGACTTATACATATTTTTTAGGATTTGCAATAAAGCAAGCCTGTCTTAACAGTCATCATCGCTCCATGAGGTTATGCACAGCACATACCAGTATTGGTTTAGGCAATATCCGTCACAATGCCCTCAATGGCTAAGCCAGCTGGGCTCTGACCTGGCTGAGCCAGAGCAGGTCCTCTCCTGTCTGTCGGATGTGGAGGCATCCCTGTCAACAGTCATGGGAAGCCACAGGGTTCTTGGGCTAGAAGCATTTTGAAAACCACCATCTGGCAGTTTGCAAAGCTTCATCACATCCATTATCTCAGCCCATCTTTACAGGAAACTTCTAGGATTGTAATAGGTGAACAAAATATGGTGTGGAGTGATCAAGACTTGCCCAGAGTCACACAGCCAGCAACTGGCCACAGAGGCTTTTTACTCAAAATTCTGGGGCCCTGTGCCCTGTCCATGGGCTCCTAGCTAAATGCTGCCTTCCAGCTACTGCACCGCCTTGAGCATGAGGGGATGGGAGCTGAGGGAAGCTGGCATGGTGAGCCCAGGCTGCCCTGGGTGGATGGGGGTGAGGGGTTCTCTCTCAGTCCTTCAGGGTGCTCTCCTCCTGATGAGCTCTAAGATATTATAACATCCTCAGGAGTTATGTAGGCAGAAGGAGATTTTTCTTGCCTGTTAAAATTTCCACTTTTTTAAAAAAAAATTTTCTGATTTTAATACAGAGAAGAGAGTAGCAGTCCCTCTATTCTGGGATGAGCACTGTGAACATTCTGGTACATAATCTCCAAGTAATTTTTTGTGAACAAGGATTAAAAAAAAAAGTACTGAACTGCCTGGGTTCAGACTTGGGCTATGCTGCTACTTAGCTGTGTGACCTGAGGCAAATTACTTAACCAGTCTGAGCTGCAGTTTCCTCATGTGTGACATGAGCAGAAAGGTGGATCCTACCTTAGAGAATTAAATGAATTATTAGGGGACAGGGTTTGGATTGGTGCTCAGTGTTAGCTATTATTGCTACTGTTATTGTCATTTTTATTTTTGAGTGCTTACTCTGTGCCAGGGGTCAGGCCAGGCTCTTCACAGGGACTGTATCGTTTAATGCACTTATCAACTCCCTGAGGTCCATATTATAATTATCTGCCGTTTACAAATGAGTATTCTGGAGGCTCAGAGGGGTGAAGGAACTTGCAAAAGGTCACATAGCAAGGAAGTGGCAAGGCCAGTATTTGAATCTGTGTCTGTCTGACTCCAGAGCCTGCCCTCTTTATCAGTAGTCTGACCTGCCCTTATTAAATCTATTTCCTTTGCAAGGCAGTATGCAGGGGATAGCCACATTGGTTCTCATGTGTTATGAGACACCCTGAGGACTTAATCTCCATCCCTGCCGCAAGGCCTCTGGGGAACCTCCCTAAGAAGGGAAGCTGCTTAACAGACAGGAAGGACCTGGCTCCAGGCCTCCAGACGCTGCTGACCCCAGCTCCCTCTGTCCCCAGGACATCGAGAAGACCATGAGCACAGCTCTGCACGAGTTGCGGGAACTCGAGAGGCAGAACACGGTCAAGCAGGCGCCAGATGTGGTGCTGGACACCCTGGAGCCCCTGAAGAACCCCCCAGGCCCCATCAGCTCGGAGCCTGCCAGCCCCCTTCACACCATCGTCATCCGCGACCCTGATGCTGCCATGCGCCGGAGCAGCAGCTCCTCCACCGAGATGATGACCACCTTCAAGCCAGCCCTGTCTGCCCGCCTGGCCGGTGCCCAGCTGCGCCCGCCTCCCATGCGGCCCGTGCGGCCGGTGGTCCAGCACCGGTCCAGCAGCAGCAGCAGCTCAGGCGTGGGCAGCCCAGCCGTGACGCCCACCGAGAAGATGTTCCCCAACAGCTCAGCGGACAAGTCGGGCACCATGTGACCTGCAGGATGGGCCGCCCCGTCATGGCCCACTGTGGCTCGCCATGGCCCAGGGTGGCCTCGGTGGCTTCCACGTGCTTCCCAGTGACCCTGGCCTTGGAGGGCAGAGGTCAGCCTGGGAGGGTGTGTCTGTGCAGAGCTGAGGTAGGCGCTGGCTGCAGCTCACATCCAGCCATGGGAATCCCACAGACCTCTCGCGTGTCCGCAGACGTCCAGAGGAGTGCCGGAGCTCCGGCAGCCCCAACCACAGCATCTCCTAACATAGAGGCGACATGCGACATGGCTTCTCCCGCATATCCTCACTGGAAACTTCTCTCGACATTCTGTCTACATACCTATATGTGTGTGTATATCGACGTGTGCATATATACACATGTATATGTATGTATGTGTCTGTAGGTGTGTGTATATATATATATTTATGCATCTATATACATATACTAGATCTGGACACACACATACTAAGTGTATATAGTATCTCCTTTTTCTTTTTATGAAACTTAGATTTACCTCAGACCCATGCCACCAAACATCTCCCACCGAGTTATTTGGTGGGATTTGCAGGGACTTTTCTGGGAGAACTTAGAGGCCCATAGTAACTGCGAATGAAGCAATATACCACTAACCTGCAGAAAAACACAAACAAAAACAGTCTCCCACTGTCTCCAGAAGTCGTGGCCTTCCAGAACAGTCTGCCCCTCAAGGAAGGGTGGGGCAGGCAGTACTCCCAAGCAGGCTGCTCCCAGAGCTGGGGAACCCTTCATAGAAAATCCCCACCCCCATCCACCCCAGAGACCCTGCCCTTCCACCCGGAGGCCAAAGGCCAACTGTACCCCCGAAGGCACGGGAGAAAGTTGGCGAGAAGACCCCTGACCACCACATCCTTGTGTTTGTGTGTAGAGGCAGGGGATAGTGAGAACCTCAGCCCCATCGTAGCACAGTATTACATGTGGTTGGGAAAAAGGGAAAAATAAAAATACAGTGGTGTGGAATACTTCAAAACCTAGAAACGCTGTAGGAATAAATCTGTGGTAACTATAGAGGTTTAACTTATATCATTTTCAAAATATTTAATTTTTTCTTTTCCTGGTTCTACTAATTATACTGTGTCAGATTTGGAACTAAACAGGCAAGGAGGCTTTGAGTCACATCGTTTCATTTTAAATCAGGCTGTGACGCACTGTGGTTGGTGCCGTCTTGCATGAAACGCATGAGCCGTGAGCGCCCAGTTCAGACCGGGGCCAGGGAGGGGCAGTCCTTGGCACTTTCTGTCCTGGAGGACACTGTTGGTTGAGTTAATACAAGTGTCATAGCTTCCCTTCCCTCCCCCTTCACCCACTCCCTCCAGAACATTTAGTGTAGATGAAAATGTGGTGATAGGATTGGGTGCATGATCTTCACGTATAACAGCAAGGCCTTTGCCTCTTGGCTGAGTGAAGCCCTTCCGGGTCGCTCTCCTTTGATTCCTTTTTACCTCCTCTTCTGATCAGTTCCAGAGATGAGCTGTTTCTGGATAATGAAATGGCACAGGGGGGAATCTGTGTGCCCTGTGGGCCACTGTTACTTACCCCCTCCTGCCAGACCCAGAGGCCCTTCCCTACTCTTCCCAAGCTTCCTGTCTCTCTCGAGGCCACTGAAGTTTGGAATCAAAAGGCCCAGAGTCTGAGTCCCAGCCCTGAGCACTTAGGAGCTTTGTGACTTAGGGTTTGGCACTCCGCCTCATTGAGCCTGGCTTTTCTGCTCATAAAATAGGATAATAAAGGTGAAATGGCCGTGAGCAAGCTGTGTACACTGGAAAGCACTGAATCAATGCAATGCTCTTGTGATTATCATTAGTAAGGTAAGTCTTAGATGAGAACCCTCCAGCCCTTCTTTTTGAAACCTCTCAATGGCATTTCAGAAGTGAGCAGTGGAATTTTCCTGCCATCTTAATAAGAGCCCTGGAGTCCATCATTAGCATTTCAGTCCATTGTATTAAGCGGTGACTTCTCCTCTGGTCCCCCACATAAAGGTAAATACACCCAAAGGGAGAAACCTAGTTAAGTCACTGGCACCTGGACCTGTTAAGAGGGTAAAGCCATTCTACCTTGTCTGAAGGACCGGACTTGACACCCCATAGTAAAAGGAGCATCAGGAAAGGAACAAAGAAAGGATCTCAGGGAGAGGCCAGTGTCAAACTTGACCTCTCCTGTTTGGCCTAGAATGAACCCTTCTCTTTAACTCCTGGATATGAAAGGCCCTCTGCCTTGGAGCACAGAAAGATATTGCCATTTTACAGCTTAAGAGAGTAAGGCCTTGGGCTGTGCTTTGACCTGCCCAAGATTTGACAACTGGCTAAGAGCAGAGGCTGTGTCAGGCTCTTGAAGTCATGTGTTTGCACGCTGGACGCTATGCTATCCAGTCAGGACACAAGACTTCTGATTTCTACCCTTAAGATACTCCCAGATCCTAAATCCAGTAGCCTCCCAGACAAAATATAGCAATCTCTGCCGCAACTATCAGATGAAAGGCAACAATCAGAGTAGACAAATCTGTTGCCTGATATACATAACATCAATCAGACCGTGTGGATTTTTCTCTGAATTGACTGATTTTGTTTTTTTTTTCTTACTGAAAATGGATCTGCCTTTCACTGAATTTTCTGAAGGCAGATCCTTAGCTGTTTTCTTCAAGTACCTATTTTTTTTCCATTGGGAAATGGCTGATGAGTTCACATTTAGGGATGCGCACACGCAGATGGAAGACGTCTCCCCACTCATCCAGCCCCAAATCTGGGCCCTGATGCAGGCCACGTGGGAAAATACTTCCCCACCCCCTCCCCCGTTCCCACTTCCTCATCTGGCACTATGCATGTCTCAGTCGCCCTCCACAGCTCTCAGTCCCATCAACGTTCACTGAACATTGGCTTTCTCTTTCTGACTCCTGCCTGTTTTAGTCCACTATATATTGCTGTATTTGCTTAAATGCTGGAAAATAACTGTTAAAATGTGAAATTGTAATTTTAAAAAAGGCTACAATTAAATTTTAGCCAATGCCACTCACCAAATCTTTGCACCTAGTAGATAGATCAATGTAAAAACAAATACCAGAAACCTAACTGTACAGTGCGTGTGGGGGAAATGTAGTAACCTAGCTAGTAGTCTTCAATATAACCAATTGTACAAGGGGAAGTGGTGTTCACCTACTTGTTCATCACCATTATTGAAAGCCGTACTGATCAGTTAGTTGATAACGGGCATTTTTAATTTTTATTTTTTTGCTTCATGGAATGATTTCTTAACCTTCGACTTATCCTGAGGTCAAGCCTTTTGTCTTTAACCGATGTTCAGTCTATTTTAGGTATGAACCAGCAAGTTGTTCATTTAAAACTGACCAAAGACAATTAATTCCTGGTCTAGTTTCCTGGGCCTCATGGCCCAGCTGCCACTAAAGAGCTTTCTGGATAAAATTGAGAACAAGCTGTGCTTCCTACCCCACTCGCCCTCTCCCCCTTTATTCCCATTTCCTCTTAAAGAGCTGCTCTGAGCTGTGGGATTCTATGAAAAATTCTTGCCTTTCCTTGTTTCAGTGCTAACGATTTCTCACCTTGAAGCGCCTTTTGAACCCCAGACAGAGTGCACACCTGGAGGGAATTGTGGGCTTGGGAATTAGACTTGGGAGTCTTTTCTCTGAAGTCACCAGGCCAGGGGTCAGGAGAGAAATGGATTCCCAAGGGATGGAAGGTTTCTATTCAATGAAGAAATCTGAGTGGGAAGAGACACAGGGAAATTGAGCCATATTTTGGCTATCGGCTGGAACCAGCAGTTCAGAGATCTGCCTTATAAACACTTAAAACTGGTTTATGGTACACGAAGGGGAGCCAGTGTGGGAAGGGGCCTTTACGTGGGGCTTTCTTCTCTGCTGGAGTCTCTTGGAGTGCCTTGTTGGGTATATTTCTTTGTCATTCAGGAGGCACGCATGCGGAGGACTTCTCATGACCTGGTCGTGATGTGGCACTCAGTGCATGTACACAGCTAATGGAAAAACACGAGGACTCGGGTAACGGTTCTTCCTCTCAGTCTATTTCTAACTTTTCACACATCCAGATGGTTCCACAGTAGAGCAAATGCCTCATTCTCCTGAGAAACCCGGAAAGAAGAGTGGCTGGCTCACAACCGTGGGGGTGGCCCCTGATGGGCCGGGGAGTGGGGGTGGTGGCAGGGAGGAAAGGCAGAAAGGGGTGAGTTGAGGTGTTGCTGAGCTGATTTTCTGCTGTGCAGAGCTAATGCTGACGTTTCATGTCAACTTCCCCGGTTCTCTGGGGCCTCCTCTCCTCTGAGCAGCCACATAGAGCATTCCCCACATATCCAGAGCTGCCCAGGGGAGCCGAGAGAAGGACTTTACTGTCAGTCAGGTCCAAGCCCTCCTGGCCTCCCTGAGATTGATCTGCCAGTGTCCCGCTGTCCCTCTGGGACTGGCCACGTGGCCATCGCTGCCCCCTTGTTGACACCTCCTTTCTGTGTGAACTGTCGCCGGCAAATAACAAAGCTGTTCCTTGAACTAGAACAACCAGAGTGCACTTTTCCTTCCTTGGATGGAAGTAGATCTTGGCTAGGGTTTCTGCCCAGGCCCTTGTTCCCGGCAGTGTGACTGTTTACATGGTTTGGCAATAGGTTTGATTCTGATTGCTTCAGAGTGGCTGGTCTATTTCGTTTCCTTTGGTTCCTTCCTCCCCAAATTGTGACAGGAAAAACAAATCAAAACCACCCTAGGAAATTGCTGGTTGCTTGTCCCCACGTGATGATAAATGTTGCCCTCTTCTGGATATCGTTTCTCTACCTTATGACCAAACGCCCGTCCTATAGAGTGTCTGATTGGATCCTCTGTCGCGTATTCTAATGGTGCCTGCTGGTTTGACGTGGAGCTATCCTGTGAAATAAAACAGCTTAACTTTTCTCAAACATGCTCCAGTGGTTTTTGAAAGGGTGAGGTGCCATGTCAGGGGTGGAGAGGTCCTGGGAAGAGTCCCCATCTTCCAGTCCATACCATCTGCCTGAGGAAACACCTTTGAAATGTCCATTAGCTCAAATCCAACAAGGTGAAGGTCAAGGTTACAAGAAGGACTGCTTCCACTGTAGAGCTAACTGAAGAAGGTAACTGTAGGATAACTGCTGGGGAAATGGGGTTAGGAAATGTCAAAGCAAAGGCAAGTTGGGAGTAGTAGCTGTCGTCTGCATGTCTTCAGAAGTTTCGGATAAATTATCAGAGGTCACTGGGTACTGATACACCAAGGCACATGCAACATTTTGGTGTTCATTGTCTACAAACGTCATACAGTCTCTTGGACTTTTGTTTTTAGTGGTGTGTGTTTGTGAACTGTTTATTGACCACTTATTTCTGTCCCAGCCACTAGATTAAACCCTTTACCTGTGTTTTCTCATTTAATTATCAATACACCATTGAAGGTAAGTATCATTATTATACTCTGTCCTGCAGATGAGGAAACTGAGGCTCTGAGAGGCTAAACAGCTTGCCCAAGGTTAAGCTGGGAAGTGGAGAAGACAGAATTTGAATTCAGTCTGCCTAACTCCAAAGCCATGCTCTTTATAAGTTTGTCATACTGCCTCTCATTTGAGCATTGTACTCATTACAGCAGGATTAGGGGCAGGATTTCATGATGAAGGTCGCTTGCTGCTTACTGCAGTCTAGGAATACTCCTGGACCTGTCCTTTCCATTGAAACCTCTGCTGGATCTTCATGCAAGGGTCTCTTTGCAGCCTCAGTGACTCATTCCCACCTAACACACTCATCACTCAATGTTGGTCTCTTGCTAATTCCACACTCCTCTGCTATGAAACTGTCTTAGTCTATTTTCTGTTGCTGTAACAGAATAGCACAGACAGGGTAATCCATAAAGAAAAACAGTTTATTTGGCTCATGGTTCTGGAGGCTGGAAAGTCCAAGAGCATGACAGTAGCACCTGGCTAGTGTCATCTCATGGTGGAAGGCAGAAGGGCAAAAGAGACAGTATGAGGGGCAGACTCTTTTGTAACCTTCTTTCATGATAAAAATCC